CAATAGCTCCATCAATGTCTTAAAGCTATTGTAATATTTGATATGTATAGGCCATTGAGGGAATAGTCAGGCCCAAACAAGTAAATCATAAAAAATAGCACCAAGAACAGGTCGTATAAAAGAGGAGGAGGGGAATGGTATGATAGTATGAATTCAATTTTACAAAGACAAAAGTAGAGCAATTACGTTCTAAAAATCAATATATGACAAGTTAATGTGTCTTGAAGAGGGTTCTTCACTAGGGAATCAAACAGACTTCAGCAGTGAGACTCTTATTTTTTGAGGTATTATATTTATACGGATTCTTGGAAATGCTGTTCTTCTGTCAAATATTAGTAAAGATTGCTAATAATGTGATGTTGTAGCACTTTAAAGAGCTTTTTCGAGTCATGTGTCTACACTTTATTAAATTCTGTATATTATGTTTTTAATTGCACATAAGAAAAATGTTGTTTTTTTTCAGTTTTTTCAAACAAAATATGTAAACCGTACGGAGGGTGCTGAGAGAACTTAGACATATCTGTTCAGGCCTAAGTTCTAAAAATATTGTAGGAGAGATAAAATAAATACAAAGTAGGATATAGATGTTGGGCTGGATTATAGAGGACATGCTGCCTACCTAAGGAATTAATCAGCCTATGCAAATGTTGGGCAAAGCTAGGGAAATTGCCCAGCATTGGTAAAATCAACTGATAAAAAAAAAAGCACCAATGACATAATGGAGAACAGAACCCCAGCTGTTATCCCCGCCAACCCGAGGCCCAAATGATAGCCAACACACATGCACCACATCCGTTAGTTGCCATCTTGCACGTTACAATTGGGCTTATGCAAGGGTTGGGGGGCAGGGGACATTAGAACATACTCCAGTTCCAGGTAAGTCGGATGGATCGTGAAGGATCAACAGCTTCCCCCAACTGCAAATGGCTCCACACGTTGAAATCCTGGGCAAAGCACTCACTCCAATATGGTATCTGCCAATAACAAGTGTCAACCTATGCATATCTACAGAGATTTGGCTAAAAAATCTCCAAAGAAAATAAAACAACTTGCTTATAGCAGAAAATCCTGGAGGAGCTTGTGTGCAATGCAGCCTATTAGTATGGCAAATGGCCCCCCACCCTCCTTCCCAAAGCACATTTTAAGTGTTTGATCTGATTTTAATTGTAGTATTTTTCATGTGCATTGACTTGCGGACTAATGTTTACTGAATCATGACATACTGTTCATTGTTTTGTCTCCAGGATAAGGTACAAGCCGCATTAGAAGTACCTGACCTTTCCAAGTCTGCAAACTTCACCCTGCAGGCACTACAGCAACTTAAAGAATTTACAAAGAATGCAGGACTGAAAGGAGGTAGCTACATGGAGCTATCTGCCCGAGACTTTTCTTACAGTCTCGCAAAGATCTACATTGGTAAGAATGTGCATTGGGTTTTACTTGTATGACACAAAGGATTTATTTCTGAACTATGGGGTGCTTTACCCTGTGTTGTTCAGTATCACAAACAAAAGTGAAGACCAAGAATTAGTAGAATATCTTAGGAAGAATTACATTTTTATCGCCATCAGGTAAGTGAACTGATGCTAGCATCTCATAACTGTAAATAGTCACTGACCCCGTGAATGGAGTTAATTGGTTACATGAGTCCATCAATTTTCTAGTGCTCAAGAGATAACCACAACATGTACTTGGCCTTCAGCATGTGCATGTGGAATTCCAGCACTATAGACATGGTAGGTTGCTTGTGTTTCATTGTTTTGTGTAGCTACCAACAGAATTTAATTAAAACACAATGGGATAATTGCCATTAGCAAGCAGGTGAAAGCAATATTAGGTCACGGGCAGTCATTGAAACGTGAATAAGTGATAATAAGGTACTTGTTGTCTATGGGGAGTATTTGCCAAACAGCACAATGAAATTGAATGTAAAAATTAATTTAAAAAAAGTAGGCCAAAATAGTTGAACGGGAAATAATTTCTACCACTTGTTATTTATTTAGCAATTATGTTTCCAGTTTACTACAATTCAGTTTATTGAATAAACCCCATGCAAAGGCTCACATCCTTACACCTTTGAATAAATGATAAATTGGGCAAGGACCCTTCCCACCTAAGCTTTAAACTAAAGCAATCTAGATATCAGTAGAAATAACATCATACATTCTTTATCACAAATGAATAATCAACTCTTATTTTATCAAAACAGTCCTGGCATATCGTGAATTATGAAGGGTAGATTGCTATGTAGTGCTTCTTGTATGTGGTCAATGCAAAATACATTTTCGACCTCCAATCACAAAGCAAGGCTCTCTTTAGCCTCTTGCCCAAACACGATACGACTCTGTTATCAATCATTGAAAGAGCACTATATCAGTAAGTAGTACCCTTATCCCCAGGATTCTCAATGAAATTATGTAATTGCAAGTCCCGCATAGCTGAAGTAAGATTATTCGAAATACTTAATTCACAGCAAATCCCATGCAGTACTCCATCCGTAGTAATTTGGAAGAGCCTAAACAAAGATGTCATCCTCTGTATATATTCTCTCTTTTCTAGGTTCACTATTGTTGGAGCATGCTGCTTGGCCGGGAGCATCTGATACAGATAAATACTGTGCACAAAGGTAAGTATTGTGTAGCCAGCTGGCAGAGAGTGTGATAACATACTGTAGTGAAAGAAGATGAAGGGGTTTGTAGGCTATATTCAGCTTCTCTTACTGTCTCTTCTCAGATGGAGTCAACAGGAACTGTGCCCTGTCTATAAAGCTGAAGCCTCAGGAAGCTACAACTCTGAAGCCCAAGTGCTGGATAAACAGCTGGTATATGAAAGAAGCCCTCTTACTAAAGGAAAATTATAGGTTTGCCAGTGTGTTTTCTTTCCATGTTTAGCATCCTAATAAGTACAGATGAGGCAAACTATTTTTTTAAATTTTTTTATGATTTTCTTGGCAATGCACTTGGGTTTTATTTCCTAAAACAGGAATTGCTACTTAAAAAGGAAAATGCACTTTCCACTAATACCGGAGGTAGAAAAACAGCTGTATTGGAGAGTATTTCTGTTTGTCTTGTTTGGCATAAAATGTGCAATGTAGTTAATAAACCCCCACATGTATTTGAACCATGTTATCATAATGTTTTATCACTGTGAAATTAGTACAGTTAGCCATACCATGTGCCTTAAAATCGAATGTAATTATAGTGTAGTATAGTATTAGGGCCAGATTAAGAGCCCAGTGGGCCTGGTGCTGACAATTACGATGGGGCCTAATTACAGAATCTTATCGACCAAAAACACTAAAACAGTCATACCTCTCAAGCATCATGTATCTGAGTTGGTGTTGGAGGGAAACTCAAAGGATGCAGCTATAAGAAAACACATACTCTATGCTAATCTCTCTAATGTATGCTTTCATCCTTCAAGTAAATCCATACCCCCGAACAGCAGTGTCCAGTGAAGCAGGAAGCCAATGTGAGAGGTAAAAGAGTAGGCCACTGATGCGAATCACGTGACCAGAACTGCCAAAAGGGGCAAACATGCCCAAAAAGGGGGTATGTCTGTCCAATGAATTGGAAGGCCAGATTGGCAACAGTGTCCCTATGTATCACAGTGTCAGTACCCCCATGTCGCCCAATCCCCTAGTCTCCCAGTATCTGTGTCCCCGTTTCTCCTAATGTCCCCATGTCTCAGTGTGTCCCGTCTCACTAGGATACTAGGGGACACAGTGAGACATGGAGACACTGAGAGACACAAGGACACTGAGACACTTGGGGAGACTGGGAGCACTTGTGGATACAGACATTGGGACACAGAGACATGGGGTCACAACTAGGGACACAGACATGGGGACACTGGGAGACATGGGGACACAGACACTAGGGACACTGGCTGGGAGACATAGGGACACTTGGAGACATGAGGACACAGACACTGACTGGGAGACATGTGGGCACTCGGAGACATGGGAACATTGGGAGACATGGGGACACAGACACTGGGACACTAGGACACAGGGAGACTAGGGGACACAGACACTAGGGACACTGGCTGGGAGACATGGGGACACTGGGAGACATAGAGATACTGTGTCCCTAGTGTCTCCGTGTCCCAATGTGTCTACTTATGTCTCACAGTGTCCCCATGTGTCTGTGTCCCCACGCGTCCCCTAGTGTCTCAGTATCCCCATGTCTTCCTGCTGTCTTTCCCCTCATCCCTCACTTCCCTGAGCTGTAGTCTGTCTCTGCAGGCTGGGAGCTGCTGTCTGAACTCTGTGCTGTGTAGCTGCTCCCCTGCGTATCAGTGAGTAGAGAGACGCAGGGAGGGATATGCTGTAACTTCCTATCCTTGCCTCTCTCCACACACAGTGACCCCTACTGGCCAGTGCTGGTATTGCAGAGTAATCTCCGTTTATAATGAGAAAAATATTTGCATTTGTATTGCCGGTATGAAGTACAAAAAATAGTGTAATATTGTGAGCGCTTAAAGCATGCAGCTGTGAGCACAGTGGAATTAATCACACAAATTCCAACAGTAGTCCAAAATGTGCAATACAGAAAGATAAAGTGCTCAGTGCAAAGAATGGAGTGTTTTTAATACTCTGACTCCCCGAGCTTTTAACATCACCATATATGTGCAAAAGGTGTACGTGGTTATACCTTAATATAGTATATTTTCTTCTCCAAACTTGGAGGTAAAAAAACACAGATATTCCTATGTGATATAAAATGGAAAACTCATAGACCAATTTAAAAACTCTATATGGTCAAACTCACATTTGTTTGAGCCTGTTTATATCACAAACTGGCTCAGGTAGTATCACTTTGAACAAAGTGTGTACATCCAGGTGGGTTGATGAGTTTTTCTCAGATGAAGAGTTGTAAGGAAAATAACATCCAGTAATAAGACCACAATATTTATTGCAAAGAATATAAAAATCTTACATAAAAGTATTTGGAATATCATCCATTCAAAGCACAACGTGTTTCAACGCTCTAATTTGTATCTTCCTCAGGTGCATAAGTTCTCTAAACTATATTGCCAGTTTATAAATGCTCTTTGGCGCCATAATCTGTAAAAAGGGGGCGTTCCCCTGCTTCAATCATCCTATCAGCGTCCTCCTGGGTTCCCCCAGTAGTTCCAATCCATATCATTTAGGTTGTGTGACGTCACTTCCGGTTTCGCTAGGCATGCGTTCCAGCGGCCATTTCCTTGCGGTCCACCTTCGGTTTTGCGTTCCAGGAGCTAAATGTATGCGTTCCACTGACACCAATATCTCAATTATGTATACTATTCATATCAACATTATAAAATCAAATCATAGATTCTCCTAATGTCCTACATAACAGCATATACTTATTTACAAAATGATAAATCAACAAAATAATTTAATAATAAGCATATACTCTCATAAAAAAGTTTTTACCTCAATTAAAATTGTGTTTAAAACAAAAACAAACAACAAAGAGAGAGAGAGAGAGGGAGGAGAAAAGAGAAGTTAACCATTCACATATATTGCACTGCATTCCCCTATACATATTTACATGTTAGCATATTCACATATTGCATTAACCCTCTAAATAAAATTATACATCTAAAAGTCTATATTAAGACCACAGGGAGAGAGTGTTTCAAGATCAAATATCCACTTCATCTCTATCTTATTTAAAATATTAAAGTCTCCTCTCCAGGGTTGGTTTATTTTTTGGATGCCTATAAAATTCATCTTTTTTGGATCACAGCTTGGACTTCTAATAAAATGAGCGATAACCTTATTTTGTATATTACACAAGTGTTCACTCACTCTGGTTTTTAGTGGTCTCGTGGTTCTCCCCACATATTGAAGACCACACATACAGGTTAAAAGGTATATGACATTATTTGTACTACAGGTAATAAAATCCTCAATAAAGTATTCCTTTTTTGTTACAGTTGATTTAAACTTTTCTGTTTTTTTCCAAGGTAATACTTGTGTTTTTGCAGGCTTTACATTGTCTGCAATTATGAAAAACCTTTAATTTTGAACCAAAAATGTCTGTATCTACTTTTCCTTTTTTTCAATACAGCTCTTAGTTAAAATGTTTTTAAAAAATTTTGTCCCTCTAAAAACAACAACTTTTGGTTTTTCTCCTAGATATTTATTCACATCCTCGTTCTGTCTTAAAATATTCCAATGTTTATTTAAAATTTTCTTTAAAATATGGCTTTGTGAGTTAAAATTACTAATAAATGTAATTTGTTCTTTTTGTTTTAGTCCCTTGTCTTTTATCTTTATAAGTTAAAAGGTCTTCTCTTGGTCTTTCTTGGACAGCTAAAAATTGCTTCTCTATTTCTCCAGATTTATACCCTTTTTGTAAAAATTGTTCTTTTAAGGTTCTCGACTGATCAACAAATAACTCTTCCGTCTTGCAGGTTCTTTTAAGTCTGGTGAATTGTCCCTTTGGAACGTTGGTGAGCCAAGGGGAAAAATTACAACTCTTAGTGCCAATGTAACTGTTGGTATCAACCTTTTTGAATAAAGTGCAAGTTTGTATAATTCCAAATTTAATAAAAATCTTTAAATCTAAAAAATTGACTTCCTGAGTACTCACATCACTGGTAAGCTGTATTCCCCAGGAGTTCGAATTTAAAAAAGCTGAAAATAAATCCAGGTTCCCCTTCCAAATAAAGAATGTCATCAATTAATCTCTTGTAGAGGACCAAGTTCGCTACCCAGTCATGCCCTGAGTAGATGTACATAGTTTCCCAGTAGGCCATAAAGAGGTTGGCATAACTGGGACCGAACTTGGCCGTGCCCCTCTTTTTTGTAAATAAAACCTACCTTCGAACCAGAAGAAATTGTTTTCAAGGATCATAAGAATACTATTTAAAGATAAAATCAGTCTGTTGAATTTTAAAATTTCCTGATTTTTCTAAAAAGAATCTTACAGCCTAATACCCTTTTTGATGTTCAATTATTGTATATAGGCTGGTGACATCACATGTCACCAGCCAACAATCGTCATCCCATTTAAAATTCTCCAGAATCTGCAATAAATGCATAGTGTCTTTCAGATAAGATATATTCCCTACCACAATGGGTTGTAATAATGTATCAATATATTGTGACAGAGGGGATAATAGCGAATCCACCCCTGCCACAATAGGTCTTTTTGTCGGGTTTTGTTCGTTTTTTGTGAATTTTGGGTAAAATATAACTTACCGGAATTACGGAGTTAACATTATTTAAAAAGTTATACTCATTTTGATTTAAAATTCATAATTGGAGTCCCTCATCTAATAATTTCACAAGTTCTTTTTTGATATCAGGTTCTGGATTTTTGTCTAATTTACAATAGGTATTTGGATCTGAAAGCCGTTTAAAAATTTCATCCATATAAAAACTTTTGGACATAATAACCACTCCTCCTCCTTTATCTGCCAGTTTCACAATTATATTTTTATCTTCTTTAAAATCTTTCAATGCTCTTTTCTCTCCTATTGACAAATTCTGCTGAAACTTTGATATAGGCCTGATTCTCTTTACATTCTGCATAACTGCCTTCTCAAATGTTTTCATACTGGTAGTTTTTAAGTGGTGGGAAAAAAAATTTTTTACGGCTTTGTTTGAATTTCTCTGGTACTTTATTTTTTTTCTTCTAAATTGGCATTTAAAAAGTATCGGTTATTAAATTGGCATTTATCGTATAGGTTATACAAGGACAAGGTGTTGGTGATAGTTTTGTAGAGGTCTCGAGTCCCTCTTTTGCGTTTTCCCTGTGGGGAGGCTGTAGTGTCAAGGGTCGGGGACTGGATGAAATTGAAGTCTCCTCCCAGTATGAGCCCCCCTTGTTTGTATGTATCTAGGTTGGACAGAAGAGATTTGAGGAAAGAGGCTTGGTTGTCATTCGGAAAGTATGCTGCCCCTATGGTGTATTGTGCATTATTGATGAACCCTACAACAATAATATATCTTCCCTTAGGGTCAATGTAACAGCTTTGCAGAGTAAAAGCAACATCTTTATGCACTAAGATGGAAACCCATTTCGTTTTCGTTTCCGACAGGGCATGATACTGCGTAGGATACAGTTTTGTAAAGCGCGATGGTGCAGTGGGATGTCTGAAGTGCGTTTCTTGAAGGCATGCTATATCAACTGAGTTTTTCTTGAGGTTATGCAAAAGCAGTCTAAGTTTTCCAGGGGAATTAAGCCCCTTAACATTTATAAGACACTATTCTCATTCTGGTGTGGTTACGTCAGGTAATGCTGGTGTTAATACCCGTGTATGTAGGCCTTGAGACTCTTGCTCATATTTAACTTTCTGGTACGTGGCCGTTTTTGATGGTTCAGTGTGATTGTCTGTTGTAAGAAGAAGTGGTATGGTGGCAGGAGGGAGAAGGTCAACCTTCGGTTTCTGCCTTTGTAGCGGTTTCTGTAAGTGGAAGGGAGGGGGATAGGAGAGGGCATAGCCCTACAAGGCTCCTTTGGGTCCAGCCTTTTTGCGGCGCCCGAGGGTCGCTCGCATTCAAGGGGGATCATGGTATTGGGACTCTCCAGTGAGGAGGATGTCCCCTTAACAAGCACAAACTGGGGCACCATGGGTGCTGGTACGATTAACCGCTATATTGCGTAGCAAAGTCTCTCTAGCCGGCCATCTTTGTCAAACGACTGTACTTTTTTTTTTTTTTGGACCTATGAGTCTCCGGTGCCCCGACTCCCCAACCCATGGTAATTGGGCAGTGTCAGGATCTAACCGAGACTATGTCTCGCTGAATACGTATTGAGTCTGTGTGGGAGGAGGTTGGGGGCCCCGGTATTCTCTCCTACATGCATCTTGTGTGGTACAATAAGATTTTAAAACACAAAGTAACATTTTAGCATGTAAAACAAAATAAATAATAACTTGGTTATGCGCCTTACGTATACCGCTTGGGTATGGAGTCACTTTATCGGGATGCCCAGTCCTGAGCCAGGCGGGGGACTTTTGCTGGGCCCGCTTTTGGTACCTCAGCCAGCGGGATACCCCAGTCTCGGAGCAGCTGTAGGCCTTGTGGCACAGAAGTGTTGGAGTGGAGGGAGTCTTGGTGGTATACTAACAGCTTAGCCGGATATCCCCATTTGTAGCTCAGTCCCTGTGTGCGCAGCGACAACGTAATTTGTGCTACAGATTTGCGGTATTGTAGAGTTTCTGCTGAGAGGTCAGAAAAGATTTTAATATTGCTGAATTTCTCAGGCATCTCTCTGTTCCTGCTTGCCTTGATTATCCGTTCCTTGGCATGAAAGAAATGTACTCTTTCTATGACGTCCCTCGCTGCGGTGCTAGGTAAGTGGGTAGGTCTTTGGAGTCGGTGTGCCCTATCCAGCAGTAGTTGGTCCGGGTGCAGTTCGGGGGTCATCTGCTGGAACATATCTTGTAAGTAATTCTCCAAATCTGCATTTGTTACTGACTCCGGTATTCCCCTAAATCGGAGGTTGTTCCTCCTGGACCTGTCTTCTAAGTCTGCCAGTTTGATTTTTTTTTTTTTGGGCTGTGATAGTGTCCTCCAGCTCTTGCATTTTGTCAGCCATGCTGTTGTGAGCCGTGGAGAAGTCATCCATCTTGGACTCTAAGTGTGCAGTGCAGTTCCCTATTTCATGCAGGTCCTTTCTAAGTTCAGCCGTTAGTTTAAGCATTTGAGCCTTGAGGTTCCTCTGGACTGAGTCTTTGAGTTCAGCCATCATGCTTCTCATAGTTGCTACTGTGAGGGGCTGATTAGCAGCTATTCCAGGGGACGCTGGGGAAGCGGGCGAGCCCTCCCGCAATTGTGACGGGCCGCCATCTTGTTTAGGGCCTTCCCGTGTTTTTTGCGGTGTGGCTTTTGCCATAAAGAAGGACGCTTTATCCACTTTTGTGGGCTTGGTTTTTAGTCTCTGGGACATGGTGTGTACTTGCGATGTCTTTTGCTGTTAAAGTTGCTCGTTAGTCCGGTTGTTTAGTGCCCCGTGTAGCTTGAGTGGCGGGAGCTACTCCAACATGCGACCATGCAGCTCGAGCGCCAAACCATGTCCCGTGGATGAAATTTTTAAACAGCTTTCAGATCCAAATACCTATTGTAAATTAGACAAAAATCCAGAACCTGATATCAAAAAAGAACTTGTGAAATTATTAGATGAGGGTCTCCAATTATGAATTTTAAATCAAAATGAGTATAAATTTTTAAATAATGTTAACCCCATAATTCCGGTAACTTATATTTTACCCAAAATTCACAAAAACGAACAAAACCCGACGGGAAGACCTATTGTGGCAGGGGTGGATTCGCTATTATCCCCTCTGTCACAATATATTGATAAATTATTACAACCCACTGTGGTACTATGCATTTATTGCAGTTTCTGGAGAATTTTAAATGGGATGACGATTGTTGGCTGGTGACATGTGATGTCACCAGCCTATATACAATAATTGAACATCAAAAAGGGTATTAGGCTGTAAGATTCTTTTTAGAAAAATCAGGAAATTTTAAAATTCAACAGACTGATTTTATCTTTAAATAGTATTCTTATGATCCTTGAAAACAATTTCTTCTGGTTCGAAGGTAGGTTTTATTTACAAAAAAGAGGGGCACGGCCAAGTTCGCTCCCAGTTCTGCCAACCTCTTTATGGCCTACTTGGAAACTATGTACATCTACTCAGGGCATGACTGGGTAGCGAACTTGGTCCTCTATAAGAGATTCATTGATGACATTCTTTATTTGGAAGGGGAACCGTGCCTCTCTGGATTTATTTTCAGCTTTTTTAAATTCGAACTCCTGGGGAATACAGCTTACCAGTGATGTGAGTACTCAGGAAGTCAATTTTTTAGATTTAAAGATTTTTATTAAATCTGAAATTATACAAACTTGTACTTTCTTCAAAAAGGTTGATACCAACAGTTACATTGGCACTAAGAGTTGTCATTTTTCCCCTTGGCTCACCAACGTTCCAAAGGGACAATTCACCAGACTTAAAAGAACCTGCAAGACGGAAGAGTTATTTGTTGATCAGTCGAGAACCATAAAAGAACAATTTTTACAAAAAGGGTATAAATCTGGAGAAATAGAGAAGCAATTTTTAGCTGTCCAAGAAAGGCCAAGAGAAGACCTTTTAACTTATAAAGATAAAAGACAAGGGACTAAAACAAAAAGAACAAATTACATTTATTAGTAATTTTATCTCAAAGCCATATTTTAAAGAAGATTTTAAATAAACATTGGCATGTTTTTTATTATTTATTTATTTTATTTTTTTTGATTGTGCAAAGAAGAAAACAAATATGCTTGCAGCACCCCGACAGTGTTGACAAGCAATGCATTAACGTACAGGAATATATAATGTTGTGGTATGAGATGGTGGTACACATTTTTTATAACAAATATATACAGGCTGATATATAGTTCACTTGTAGATTATAGAGAGCTCGATAGTTAATTACTTCATATATTTTTAGGTTAACTCGTGTAGTCATATGCTTGTTCAACGTGTCTAAACAGTAATATAACAGACTTATCAGACGTGTCAGGAGCATATAAGAAAGTATCCTATATTATAAAAAAAAAAACACACCTTGACATGTGGATGGTTAGAATGAAAGAAATGATAAAACCGGCTTTTAAAGCAGGATTAAGGCAAACTGTTTAGTAGAAAACCAGCTAAACTTAAATCAGCGTGTGTATCGAGCGGTGTTGGCTAGACCAGCTTAGTAGTGTGCTGAGGTTAGGCTTATTTTAAAGGTATGGTCAGCTAAGTGCTGTTATTAGTGGGATTACCGGTCATAGTCTATGCCAGCATGTTGATTATGGCATGAGGGGCGTGCTGATCTATATTGTATGCCTACATGAGGTTTTGTTGGTAATTTAGTACTTCCCTCTAAATACTAGCCTGGGGTGCCAGCTATTCAGGTATACGTGAGGACTTGCAGAGTATAATTATGCTAGCACACATCTCGATTGAGGGAAGCAGGAAATTGACATAGGGGATAGGGATAAACAGTGGCGTAGCGTGGGTTGTCAGCACCCGGGGCAAGGCAAGTAATTTGCGCCCCCTAACCCGTGGATTTTAGCACTCGAGTCTCTTCTACTAGATTAGTTAAAGAAACCCTTACCCCCCAAGCACATGTATTGTTTGTTATGAAAATACTTATGTAATTAAAGTAAAATGCATCTAAATACAAGTTTATTTTCCAACACTTTATTGAGTGCGAACATGCATTACACACATTCTCCACATTTTCAGCAGGTCTATGAATACAAATATACACATGTAGTAACCTAGCATGGGCCATGCTATTATATGTCGTCTCACAACCATCGTAAACAACAAAAAATATCAAGAACAAAAACTAAACATCAAAATGGAACCATACCCTGGAGATGATCCAAGACTGGGCTAGATGGAGCCAACTTCCTCAATCCTGTACCTCTAATTGTAATTCTTTAATAGAAGTGCAAGATATCAATCTGTATATAATATACAGATTAATTTAAATTCGCCTGCTTTTAATTAGCGCAAATTTTTCAACAACGGAATTGAAATCTACATTAAAGTCTCTCTCAATGGACAGTATTGCTAGATTACTCCGTCTTTCTTGGCTCATTGTAGATCTCTGATATGTTTTAATTAGTTTAAGTTTTGAGAAACTTCTTTCACAACTCGCTGTAGAAACAGTGATAGTAAGAAAGATTCTTAATGTGACAACAAAGTTAGTTGATAGTAAGAAAGATTCTTAATGTGACAACAAAGTTAGTTAAACTTTCTTGCAGCTTCCACTTATACACCCAGCGAAGCAAATCTAAAGCTGACCAGTTTGCAACCTGCTCATCAGGATTGACCTCCTTATACAAGATAATGTGGTGCCGAAGTCGAGTTATTTCGGTGAGCATAGATGCAGCATTCAATTCCGTGTACTGAGCACACGTGTGCTGAATTTGTTTCTTAATAAAATCATCTTTTTTAGTATCCAACAATGTTTGAATTTGCAAAAAATGCAGCGTATTCATCTGCGTAGTACGTTTTTTAATTTCTGCCTGAAGCTGATCAATTGCTTCCAGTTGTTCTCTGCTTGTTTCCTGTATTAAGGTCAAGCCAGCATCGCAACTGTTCTCACCATCCATCTTCTTGCGTCTTCCAACTCTTCTCTCTGTAGGTATGCAATAGGTTTTTCATACCTGCAAAGCTTTCTCAGTTGCCTTTGACACTAGACTATCACGTTTTTCATGACAAAATAAAGTCAATGCTTTTAACTTTTGCACGCATTGATCAAGCGCAAGTCCTTCTTGCTGCAGGTAGATCTGAGTATCATTTACTTTGGTTAGTACTGGGTTCCAAAAATGCAAGAAAGAGAAAAAAACATATGTCATTATGCAAACTAAAAGACTTCCTGCATCACCCCTGGTTTCAGAGGTTTCTCCCGGGCCATCTCTCAACGCTTCCAAAGCGTCTATTATTTTCTCAGTGTGTTCAGCAAGTACGCATACAGCTTCATGCGTTGAACTCCATCTTGTGTTACACGATCGCTTTACACGAATTGGTACATGTTTCTTAAGGATATCCCACCTGTGGGTGGAGCTTGAGAAAAATGAATACACCTTTTCCACAGTGCCAAAGAAAGTAACAGACTTTGTCCCAACACCAACTGCATGCATGCCAGCAAGATTGAGCGAGTGATTGTTACATGGCACAAACATTGCTTTGGGATTCATATCCAAAATACGTTTTTGTACACCACTAATGTGTCCAGCCATAGTTGCAGCATTGTCGTATCCCTGGCCGTAGCAATGCTCTAGTTTAAGGCCATCAGCTTGCAACTTGTCACAAATTTGTTTTGTAATGACATCAGCTGATTTCCCATATAACTGAATAAAGTCAATGAAAGACTCTGTCACATGGACTCCTGAATCTTCAATATGCACATATCGAATCACTTG